CCCCAAAACCCCAAAACCCCAAAACCCCAAAACCCCAAAACCCCATTTTATCAGTTAAAAATTGATTTTCTAACTTATTAAAATTTATTTACCAATGTCTGAAATAAACAGGAGAAGATTTATTCGAAAAAATAGGGAAGAGCAGAGCATAAAAGATAAAAGCCCTAGGTCCTCAAGTGTGCCTGGTTCCATGATAGCCACTCCTAACATATCAAAGCTCTCTCAGAAAGATAGAGAGAATATTTGAGAAATAGTTCTTCAGAATGGCATCGATCCAAGATCGCTGGCTTTCGAAATAGTTACTAAGAGAGTTTGTAGTGTCCTTTTAGCGCAGAAGAGTAGCGAAGGTAAGCTTAGTCCTTATTTCATCCACAATTACTCTTTTTGCATTAGAATCTGATACAAGTATTGTATAGAATCTTTCAAGAGCGATAGAGCTTTCCTAGAAAATGTTGTGAAAGAGACACTTGAGAAGGATACTTCTTTGAAGACGACCTTGAATAATATTTTCAAATCTTCAACATCTCCTTGTGAGGTTGATATTCAGAACTTAACTGCAGAAATTTTAAGTCAGCAGTTATCAAAGGCGAAGAGTACTGAAAGATCCCAAAGCCAAAATAGATATTGTTTGAGTCGTTCTGTTATAGAACCTCAGTTCACTAAATTAACGGAAAAAGTGTCATACCAGAAATCTCAGAATGAAGGTCAGGAGACTAGCGATGAAAAAGCTCTTGAACAGACACGTTGAATCCAGAATTCAGAACTTATTTCAGGGGTGTCTTTGAACATTAAAGAAAAAGAGTTAACAAAAAGTGACTCTGCTCAGGAGATTCCTTTAGATCCTCCTCCAAAACCTATTTCTCCCTCTAAAATCTATTATGAACTTAACAAAGACGCTACCATTGATCGGAAAGAAAGCTCTAGTGCTGCTTTGACTAGGGAGACTAGCGAGGAAGAGAAATCCCAAGTAACTCCGAAGAGTAATAATCTAATTTCCTCTCTTCCAGCCTCTCCAAATCAGTATGAGAACAATTACACAGATGATATGTCATCTTTCCAAATGATTTCTTCAAGAGAAACTCATGAAATAACACCTAGCAATACAGTCACTCCTAAGAGGGAGCCTTCCAGCAAGTCTTGTATTGAAGTGGATATCCTTCACAAAGAATACGATCTTGGCAGAGATCTTCTCCAAAAGGCGGGATTGAAGATAACTTCTCAAGCTTTTAGGCAATTAGCTTCTCAGACAATGAACGAGTATGACTATAAGATTCTTCAGATAATATTCTCTCTTCTATTGTCCATCAGAGACAAGAGTGATGTCACCATTAACTCGCTTGGAGAGATAAAGCATCTGCTTAGTAACCCTGATGAGGTTATCTTGTTATTAAACAACCTTGCCACACTAATATCAGAGAAGTCTTTCTCAGGTAAAAGTACTTCCCAATTAAGAGACGAATTTGTCAAAGCGTCGCCTTATGTTTCAGACAATCAGATTATTGGCAGTATAAAGGAGTACTTGTGAGAGTCTTTCTGTCTGATTGATATTATTGAAGAGATTAAAGATTTTGAAAAGAAGCATAATATGAAAAAGGTTCCCAAGACTGCAGATAAGCCAAAGAAAACAAGAAGAAGGAAAGACCAAAGGAAAGAACAAATGGAGAAGTCTCAAAATAGAACTCTAAGCCATAAAGTTGATACTATTGGATCAAGATTTAATAAAAACGTCAGCAAACAAAGAGTTGAAACTTATCATCGAGCTTCTAGCAAAAGGAATCTGAGTAAAACCCCTAAGAATAAAAAAATGGGAAGAAATCAATCAAGACTAATGGATAAATCAACCCCTAGATTGACTAAAAATGAGAAAATTCAGAAGAAGAATATTATCAAGAGAAATATTACCAACGGATGTTCATTTATTTCTAAAAGTCCTAAGCCACTAGGTAAAAGTCCTACTCTGAAGAATATTTCAAAAAGTCCTAAGCCTCTCAGAGTAGGAAAGGACTATTCTTTCAAACAAGAGAAGAAGGCTACAAAGAGACCAACTAGAGGAGTTCAATATGATGCAAACGGACATAGGATCATGAGCTCTAAGAATCAAAAGCAATATAGGCCCAAGAACTCATTTAAAAAGGAAATGACTCCTGTGAAGGTTGGTAATAGGACAGTAGAACAAAGAGATGACACTCTCTTGCCAACAAACCTGAAACAATCGCCACAGAAAAGAAAGATTACAAAGAAAAGTACCATTAGGAAGAAAGCAGATCTCCATGAGCCAAGAGTGAGAGATCAGAATAGATCATTTATCCAGCCAGTTAATAAAAGCCCAATAAGAAAGGCTATTTCTCCTATTAGATCTCCTAAGAGAAAGAGTCCCAGAAAAGAGATTGGCAGGATTAGTCCTACAAAGAGGATGATTCAGATGAAGAATTCTTACATCAAAAATCAACAAAAGGCTCAGGAAGACCCTAAGAATGCAGGAAAGCTTATATATACCATTAGCCCTAACGAAGGCTACATTGTGGATCAAGAGTTCAAAGAATTGACTGAAGAAGGTGAGTACCGATAGATTCGGATTTAAGAATAACGCAATATGAAGGTTTTCGAAGTTTTCTGAAAAAGATATGCTTTTTGCTAACAATATTTTTACTTCCCTAGTTTCCTAAATAAGTCTTCCTATAGAACTGAACGATATTGGAAAATCTTTGGCTGAAAAATCTGCTGAGCTATGCAAAGCTGCTGATCAAGAAAGGTCTGAAAAATACGGAGATCTGATGGTAAAGAATCACCTTAAAAAAAGGGTGCAATAAGTCTTTTAATTTTTAATTCTTAAGTCTTTCAACTCTGCTCATCTACAAAGGGGTTTTGGGGTTTTGGGGTTTTGGGGTTTTGGGG